GAGAGAGAGAGAGAGAGAGAGAGAGAGAGAGAGAGAGAGAGGTGACAAAGATATTCAGAGAGAAAGGTAATTTTATATGACTGTACGTTAATTAAACAAATTTTTAATGTGTAAAAAAGAGAAAGGCAAAAAAGAAATACAAAAATGAATGCAAGCTTCTAGGATTTGTTGTATGAATATTCTCAAGCTGGAGTTGGAAAACTACGTAATTTACAAAGGAGCTAAATAGTATAAGTTCCGCAATATTTGCATACGTAATTGAAATGCTTTACTATGATTATTATCGTTGTTTAACGAGCTTTTAGAACACGTTTTTCAACACGTCAAATGCGTTGACTACTTGATATATTCCACAATTATGCAATAAACTTGCTTATCTTTATTTTCATTATAAAAAAAAATCATCTTGGCTCTATGACTGTAAAACATGCGAATGCTTTTTTCATTTATAGTTAAGAACAGAGGTGGTGAATATTACATCAAGTATTCAATCTTTGTTAAATGTGTCTGATTTACATATTAATTGACTTCTATCATTATGACGATCGATTGTAGGAATTAAAATGTTTTTTTTCCTCCACTTAGTAGAGATGAAGGGAAAAGTTATATTACGTTTCTGTGAGTATATGTATTCTCGGAGCTATCGTAGAAAAAGCTATCGTAGCTTTTTCCAAAAATACATGTTATATTAGACAAAATTTAGGTAATTTACACATTATAAGTTTTTAAAAAATCAAAGAGTTTATTAGGTATGTTTTACTATATCGAAGAAATTAGTAAACAGAAAATATTATAACTCCTCCATTAAACAATAAAGGTCACTGCCTCAGATTACTGACATGCATTTTATGTCAAATTGCAATGATGAATTATCCATTGGCAATTGCCAATTAAGGTTCTAGAGATACTAGCAGAAGCATTGTTTTAACACGAAAAAATATATGATAGAGAATTCTCAGGAGGATATTTTATAAAGCGGTATTTTACTGAATTTAACGCAAAAAACTCTACATGAAAGCGTTTTCCTATCTCCTATTTATCACGAAGCTATTTATCACAGAACAAAAGACAGATGGTATTAGACAGTACGCTTCGGTTCCAGCATTCTTTCTGTGCGTCGTTTTTTGTCGGTCCTTGACGGGAACAAATAAAAGAGCGTCGCCGCGTACGCTCTTATCGATTCGCATCTCGAAACCTCGATACTGGTCAACGGAAACGGAAGTGGCAGTCTTCCATATTCCAGTGTCTCAATGAAGACTAGATAGAAGGAAATTATTAAAATTGAACGTATATAATAGTCTCGTTTCAAGTCGATCTTAAGGAGAAATTGTAAAATTAAATTTATTCGCAATTCGAATAAATCAACTTCGTTTAATCTTAAAATAAATTAATTAATTATAGCTAAATAAAATAAGAATAAAGTAGATAGTAAATAATGCCATTCAGATTCGAAAGAGGCAAGTGTTCGATTTTTTAAATTGAAAATAAACCGTCATTTCAAGTGCTGAAATACTTTGCACAAATTCGCCAACACAAAGATCTCTGTAGAAATAAACAGAATGATAATAATTTAAATTTGTTACTTTTTTAATTGATTTATTTTTGCATGCCCTACTTGTTGTCTTCATCTTTCACAAATTTCGTCAGAATTCAACATTCATTATGTGCTTATAAAATCCTTACAATAATTAGCTAAAATTGAATCATTCGATTGGAAAAGCAATCAAAAGCAAAACTACAGTAACCGGACGAATCTATGGTTTTCGCAAATTAATTTTTCCCAGTGTTTTTCTTCTCGCTTCTGCCACCGTTCATACGACGCCGCACCCACTGTTTCTAGTGAGAGCAGTATGCCGAATCCAAACAACGATGGAAGAAACAATTTGGCATCACACATCGACAATCAAGAACGTTAAAGGCAGTTGTGATAAGAAAATAAAACGTGGCCAATAAAAAGACAAATGCGTCCTGGGCAATTAAGAGACAACCTCCTTCTTTTAAAAAGGAAATATCCAGAATATTCTTTACTGTCAGTTTAAACAATGAAATCCTAAATCTCTACAATAATCTTCAAATACGAATGCTGAATGAACTATTTTATCCATTAAAGATAACTAACTATATTATTCATTCATTTTTTTGTTCCATAGTATATACGATAGTATTATATATCATATATTTGAAGTTATGTACATTAATTAAATGTTGGGCAGAATAGTTCTTTCATTCCCAACAGAAAAGTAAGTTACAAAGTAAGTTACAAGTTTTGGTGTGAAATACCCGACCATCCAAAAAGTAATTACAATCTAATTAACAAGTCAATTCATTCGTAATTTTACTTTCTTTATCTTTCAATAAACACGAAGTTGAATATTACTTGAATATTCTGTTTCAAAAAGCAGTATTTAATTTAATTGCGCATTCCTTTATTCTTTTGTCATTATTCACTAACTCTCTCCATTTTAAATGTCACGCCATTTCATAATGTATTGTCATGTCTATTGTTCATGTAGTTTGTACGCAAGAAAAAAATCAGAATAAAAGTTCAATAAAAACCAATTTAAAATAATTTCAGTCACTTTTTACATTCGTTGAATTTCTGGGTGAGGGCATTGACTGAAAGCGTTAAATTTGCTGCACAGAATATTGATCCCACCGACTCAGAAATTAGCAATGATTACATCACACGCACAGCCAGTTTCGAATCCTACTTTCCTAATGCTCATTGTCAGTCATCGAAATCTGTGTACGAGTGTAATTAAATTTGTAGATGACGAAAAATTTGGCTTGAAAACCACAGTCAACCCCATAAACCATGATTTAGCTAATTTTTCACTTCAAGCAGACTGCACCTGATTGACACATATTTGCGAGAGTGTCCCAGGAAAGCCAATTACTTTATGGACGAGTAATATACTTAATGTTGTAAATGTTGATTTTGTGTCGAAATTGTTTGCAATCCTATGTATATAATAAAAGAAGTGCGCACGTTTTAGAAAAAAAAACTTTTTGCCTGGAAAAATACGCAAAATGTCGGATGTGTGAGTTGTTGTGAATATATATGCGTGTGTGCGTGTGTGTGTGTGTGTTCGAAAATATATATTCCAGGACCCTTCATTTTCAGTGATGGCCTCGCAATTCCTTGTAAGGAGCACCGTGCAGTTGCAATGACACAAAAGAAGACGACAAATACCTGGACAATTTTCTTTCATTTCAGGGAACATGGGAGTTTAAATGAGATGAATAAATACATAGCTAATAAAGAAATATGCCTTTGTAGAGAAACAAATGATCGAAACATTATTACCAAAAGTACTAGAGTGCACATTTATTTACCCTGTCAATAATGTATGTAGACAATGCTAAATTATTTTCTCTTCTCTGTAGTTTATAAAGTAAGCCAATATCATTAATATTTTCTGTTTCAATGAGAAATGAACATCATTTTTACTTTTTTGGCGATTGCATTAAAAGTTTGTTTTAAAATGAGAGTAGTTTTAGAAATACTTCCATGTCAGTGTTCGGGCCTTGTTGATGAGCAAAACCTTCAACGAATGCTGTTGACTTTTCACATAAAACGTGACCAATCTTCATATTAAAAAATTACTTTTATCCGGGCCTTATGTTCATTTGCTTCAATGAGGAACTTTCTGTATGATGTAGATCAAGTGTCGATAGTGGGTTTGTGCCATTAAACACGACTTCACACAGTGCGAACGGCAAAATTAAAAAACTGTATTTTTACTCCAGTTAATTCTTGACTACATAGCTAACTACGATGATTCAAATTTTCACTTTCATTTGGGGAATGGCAGAAAGCGTCTGAAATAGAATTAGAACACAAAGATATTGATTACAAATATTTCAGTCATTTTACGTAACAAATAGTGACCAATATCATATTAAGTATAACATTGTAAAATAATTCCATTGGGATTTTTTTAGAGAAAACGAAGTGAAATTACATCCAGTAAATTTCTGTGCTTTGCTTCTTCTCGTGAGATTTTTCTTGATGGTATCAGAAAGCTAGAAGAAAGAGGTGGTCTTTTCATAATTAATTTGCTAAAAACTGATCTGGGTATATAATACTGAGAAATTCTTAAGTTCGTTTACAACTCGTGGAAAAATTAGCAGGTTGTCAACTGCTCAAAACTTACGAAAGTAACACGAAACAATGAACAAACAAGCACACGAACAAACAATAATCTAAGCAAGCAAGTTTTCACAAGACAACGAAAAATTTGGGGTTAGGTCACATAAAAGGCTTTGGAATGGGAGTGAAATTATGCCGTGACCGACCCTCTGATAGAGTTTAAGGCAAGACATCGAGCAAGTGGTGATGCCGGAGCAATCTTTGGTTTTAGACATAGATTTAATTTCATATTTAAATCCTTATTTACAATAATACAGCGACATGCAACAATGATTTAAGGGAACATTTTTATCACAGCAGGCACATTAATGGTGATATTTTAAATTCATGCTTAAGTAAATTGTGTTTAGACCCCATAAAGGAAAAAAAAATGAAAGACCCACAAAGCCAGATGAGAAGCTTGAGGTGCAAGAAAATATTCAAAATTGCTCCGGCCTCACACCGTCGGACTAGAGCTATACCCACCCCTCTTTCTTCCGTTTCGACAATTAGGTGGTTGTTTTTCAAGGTCATCGTAATTATGCTGCCGTTGGCGCTTTGCGACGTGTGGTTGTGTAAAGTCCCTGTAGAGGCGCCATACGTCAGCAGGGGTGAATGTGACGTCATATCCTCCATCTCGTCTGCCGGCGTAACCGAGAACTGGGACTCACACGTCTTCAACTGTTTGCACCAACAAAAGCCAAGAGGGAGGTTTAGAGATTTGTAGCAAAAAGGAATACTTTTCACATCAAACATGTAATACAGTATTTACCTTGAGAGAGTTTTACAGAAAACACTTGTTTGGAAGTAATGCAATTGGTGGTTGGAAGATATAACACATCACATTCTTGAAAACTTCAGTTCTCAATACATGAAAGTACGTCAACGTAAATGTCAATAGAAAATAATGCCATGTAGAATATTAGAGAAGCGTTTGTAAAATTATAATACTTTCTTAGAGCAGTAAGCTCGGATGCAGGGTTGTTTCATTGCATACAAAATTTATACCAAAAAATAAACTACCTTCAATATAATGTTTTATCAGCAGAATATGATGCAAATATATAGTGGTGTTTTTACAATTCGAAGAATAAGTTAAAAATATATTCCGGGGTAATATAAATCATTACTCATATTGACTAGTATTTGACACTATTGCTACTGTATTGTCATTAACGATATAAGAAATAGAAAACTTTTTTTTCGTATTTTCACACTACCTTTCGCACAATTTCTAAGTCAAAATAAAAAACTTACCTTTTCCTTTACTCAAAATACTGTTTCTTCGGTCCCTAAACGTAATAGAATCTGTCACAAATGTAATGGTTATATACAAAAATAGAACTTCACATTTTCGAAACGGATTCAACGCAAAATGATTTAAAGCTTTCTGGCGAATGTAACTGTTTTAATCTTCGAAAGCATCCCCCCTCTTCCGTTCTCTCACTTTCTTTTTTTCTTTCTTTTTCGCTCTCTCTCTCTCTCTCTCTCTAAAATGGGATATCGTTTTTTTTAAATTTATTTCATATCGTTCGTAATGTTGAACTGTAATAATTGTATTTTGATTCAACTGAAAGCATTCTCGAAAGATTAAATTAAATAACTCTGGAGACAGCTTTCTGGCAAAAGTATCACTAGTCGGCTCGTCAATTTCTTCTTTCATCCTTCTTTTATATTATAATACTGAGAGCAATAAAGCGATTTGTTAGTCACCAAGTGTTAATTCGATAGACATTTCTTGAGTAGTAAATGGCCTCTTGTTGGAATGAATGCTTTCATGAGTTCGAGGTTGAAGCTTTAAGCTCAGTATCTTCTTTAGAAACGTATGTATCGCAAGAGAACTAGCAGCAAACCAGCAGTCATCCTTTCCAAACCCGACCACTGGCTATAGCATATTAATCGCTTCCCGAATAATTTGGTGGTTGTGTGGTCGGAGAGTTCAAAGGGTTGCCGCCAGAGGCGCATTGCCATCTTCCGGAGAGTGCACATCAAGTGCATTGGAATCTCAATATTTGAGTAGTCTGGCTCGCTGGCAAAGATCTGAGGGTTTGGAGCAGGAGGCGAGGGTGAGCAGGGTAGGGACCTAGTGGCAGAGGCGAAGGCGGGTGCGAAGTGGGGCGAGGCAGGGAGGAGAGAGGGCCGAGGCAGGGAGGAGAGAGGGCCGAGGCAGGGAGGAGAGAGGGCGAGGCCGGGGGCGAGGTGGAGGTGGGAGACTTGGGCCCAGTGAAGGTTGGAGTGTGGGCATAGTGGAGGCGGTGGAGAGGGGAGCGGAGTCTGAGAGTGAGAGTTGGCGAAGCGGTCGAGCGGGGGTGAGGGGGGTTCGAGGCGGGGTCGAGGCGGGGTCGAGGGGGGTCGAGGCGGGTCGAGGCGGGGTCGAGGCGGGGTCGGGCGGGGTCGAGGCGGGTCGAGGCGGGGTCGAGCGGGGTCGAGGGGGTCGAGGCTCGGGGTCGAGGCGGGTCGAGGCGGGGGTCGAGGCGGGGTGCGGGGTAGGCGGGGTGAGGCGGGGTCGAGGCGGGGTCGAGGCGGGGTCGAGGCGGGGTCGAGGGCGGGGTCGAGGCGGGGTCGAGGCGGGGTCGAGGCGGGGTCGGGCGGGAGGCGGGGTCGAGGCGGGGTCGAGGCGGGGTCGAGTGCGGGTCGAGGCGGGGTCCGGAGGCGGGTCGAGGCGGGGCTCGAGGCGGGGTCGAGGCGGGGTCGAGGCCGGGTCGAGGCGGGGTCGAGCGGGGTCGAGGTCGGGGTCGAGGGCGGGCGGTCGAGGCGAGTCGGGGACGAGGAGGGTCGGGCTGGGGTCGGAGGCGGGGTTCGAGGCGGGGTCGAGGCCGGGGTCGAAGGCGGGGTCCGAGGCGGGGTCCGAGCGGGGCGAGCGGAGGCGGGATCGAGGCGGGCGAGGCGGGGACGAGCGGGGACGAGGCGGGGAGGCGGAGGCGGGGGAAGCGGGAAGGCGGGGACGAGGTCGGGGACGAGGCGGGGGTGAGGGAGGCGGAGGTGGGGACGGCGCAGTAAAGGTATGCAAGTGAGAGGCAGAGGGGCGGGGGGAGGGGCGTGGCAGGTTGGTAAGAAGGGACGCAGGGCGGTAGAGTCAGAGAGGTGAAGGCAAAGGCGGTGGAGTAAGTGAGGGCGGAAGTGGGTTGGATGGGCGCCCGCTTTGAACCCTTCGCATTGATTCTGAAGTCCCAGACGCATCGTCGCGACGAAGCAGTACGTCGAACGAGTTTGGCAGCTGGCGGGAAGCTCTAGCTGTTTGCATTTATCTAATAGATACTTTGCTACGAAGGTTACATCGTTGTAGATTTATATGTGGCTAGTCTGGATGTCTTGAATTTATGAAAATATCTACATTAAATTGAGGCGTTATTGAACATTGGTGTATCATTCACTTCGAAGTTGCAAGAAAGAGACAAGCCTTGGAATGGGAAAGTCACTTGAATGAGGGAGGGAAGCTGAACGATTCGCAAAGGAAAAATCCCTGCACAGACCGGATTAGCTACACCGATTCTCTCTGATGAGGATTCCGCGGTCTTTTCGGGATTCAAAATCCGATTCAAATGGGATATGGTCTTGAGTTTAGGTCAACGACTTCATCCCGTTTTTATTCTTCAACAGATGAAGATACTCGTCATGGTAGTCATATTTCACATTGTTTCAAAGCTATTTGAGGGTGACAGCGCAATAGTGGCCTATCCCACATTTTTAGGAAATTGCGTTCTCTGTCACATCTTAATCTCCCTAACTTCAACGTGTAACTGTTTCAGCATGTTCGCGTCGATAGTTTTCAAGTTATAATTACAAAAAGAAACTATTGCACTCAGCTTACGATTACATTTCTTTGTGCAATAGTCGCCTAAGCATAGGCGATGCTGTTTTACACAAGATGTAATCCACCACAAATGTTTAGTCAGTGGTCATTCTTACATAATATCATAATATGAAAACACTTACAAACGAGTGTTTAATTTTGCCAATAACTTCATCAGCCATTTTCTCCAAACACAGGATCTGGGGATAGGCCACTACTGCGCTGACACTCTCATTTCTGGTCACTAAAAATCAATAAGCAGATTTTTGAAGCCAGAAAGTTTCGTCTGTTAATCAGAGAATATTGACAACGTGTTAACATAGCACAGTGTCACAGACTGTAGGGCAGGCAGATTCTCATGTATTTTAATTTAGCAATCACTAAATTCAATTTATCTGTATATTTTGTTTTAGTTCTTGCAAAACAATCTAGTTTTATTTAATCGAATTTGTAAGATTATGATCTTCGTGGACACATGAATGCATAAGTGATTGCTGACTACTCTCTTGGGGATTATAACAACACGCTGCGTGAATTTTCGCAAGTTTCTCATAGGTCCGCATACTTCATCGATCTCGCTATTAAAGTTGTGACTTGTTGCGAATGAAATGAAATAGACATATTACAGTCCAAATAAGCCAATTTTAGTCCATTTCATATTTAAACTGATGTCTCAAAAGTGAACTTCATTGCCAAAGTTAGTGTGTGACGTACTCGGTTTAATCCGACAATACGCTTATTGCATGTGTATATGAGAGAGGTTTTCCCCTTCTCCTTGCGTATCTCCTATCCTTTACGTGTCTATCCGTAATCTGCCCGCTACTTATGGCGGAAATCTCCCAATCCAGAAAATACAACGTTGGTTGCATAAGATTACCTTTCTTTTTTAACTGTACTTTAATAATTATAATAAAGAAGAAATATCGCCTGTTAATCTGCAGCCAAAAGTATTTGATAATAAGTAGAAATAATTGTAAGTAATTTTTAGATTGCATGCTAGGTTTCTGAATTGTCGCAACAATAAAAATAGAATTATTATTTAAGACTACCAATGAGCTCTGTTGTAATGTTTTTTGACATGAATAAATTGGGTATCCAGAGACATTGTCATACAGAACGATTCGAGTTTGAAAATTACCCCTGCCGTATTTTTGGGACAAATTATGGCTTTTGTACATTTTCCTAAAGGTCTCTTCAAAGAAAATGAAATTTCGTCGTATTACAATACATTAACTTTTTAATGGGCAGATTATGTATCAACTGATAATATTGAATGAGTTAATTAGAACACAATTTGCAAACTCATTATTCGGAATTAATCTTTAAGTAAAGCAATTTTAGAATAATTTTGTCCCGCTTTAATTACACGCAAAATTGAAACCTACATCCTGCAAAGACTCTGAAGTGAATACTCTCACATGAACAATGTAAAAATAAACTCGAAGAGAATTACTTTTGTTCAGCGGTTGTCTTGTGCCTCATGATTCTGCTTCAAAATTCATTATTATCACATCGCTAGTAGATTAACTTTAGGATACTGCGAGTCTTTAGTTAGTCTGAAAAGCTAGAAAAGTGCATCTGTTGCCACCTTCTGACAATGCGTTGCCTATTTTTTTTTATAAATTAAAATGTATTTGATGGATGAAGACAAATAAATTAGTTTCTTATCGTTGTGTTTTTACACATTGATTTACATAGAAACATCCACAGTGAAACAGGACCTGTAGTTTTGCAGGGTCTTTGAAAATTGACGAATGTAAGAGAGTATTGCGAGAGTAAATGTAAGAGAGCATCAAAGGAGCTTTACGGAAAACCTGCAGTGTTGAAGAGTCGTAGGAAAGTTAGATGTGTCAATTTTGTAAGATCAGTTCCTCATTATGTGTTGTGC